GGGTTTTTTTTTTTTTTTTTTTTTTTTTTTTTTTTGTTGGTTACATATTCTTGGACGAATGATAAAAATCGAGAGTTATGGTATTGTATTAATGTATTAAGTGATTTGAATCTCAAATAAATTTTCTCACTTTAAGATATTTGATCGATAAAATAATCTAAATTTTAACTTCAGATGTGATTTCTTTATCCTTTTTAATTTCTTAGACATTTTAGATCTAAAGACCTTATTTAAGGTTTTTAGATCGAGTTTCTAAGAGTTTTATTAATTTAGAATGAAATCTATCTTGATTTGAAAGGTTTTAATATTTGTGATTTAAGGATTTGCGTAATTGAAGCTGAGTTATTCTTTAATACTACAGAAATTCTAACTTGAATTTATCTTATTCTAATTTAAACAACATTTTACTACCTCTATCTTAAGGTTCATATTCAATAAATCGGATCGAAAAATAGATAATCTAAGGTTAGATAGACAAAAATGGGACTGACCCACGTGCACACTACACGTACGTTACGTGCACATTCCTCTCCTTCCTTGCATGCTTCCTACTACAATTTTTTCATCCTATTTTACTTTTGTTCTAAACTCATTCTTCCTCGTTCGTACATGTCTCAATTTGATTATTCTACAGAAGTTGTGAACTTTTAACTACGCATCCAATAAGACAAAAATTATGGAAAATAATCAACTATAGATGGAGAATTATAAGAAATAAGTTCTAGTTACAAAGCCTCCTATACCAAATAAGAAAGCTACCACAAATTACCTTTCAATTATTCTTGGATACGTTACAAATTTTAGGTTAGTTTATTAGAATATTAATTTTTCGGATTTAACGAGGTTTTATTATTTTTTTTTAGCTTTATAAAAATATTTTCAAGATTTTAAGCTACCATACCTAGCCGTCGTTATAATATTGATGGACACGAGAGTTAAAGCTTTTCCATTGACAATAAGTTACTTTAAAGTTCATTTTCAAGATTATACGTAGTCATTCAAGTAGCTCTAATTAAGCTGAATTGAGCTATCTTGCAGAAGAATTTGAATCACAAGTTTAAAAACGAGTTTTTTTACTCTTGATTTTGATCTTCAAAATAATCGTTTTTGGGTTCTTTAATAATTCATATCTAAAAAATCTTTAGTGAACAAAGCAAGTGTCTCCTATCATTAGTCTTATTCTATCAATAATTTTACCCAAATATTTTTAAACTTGCTTTACCAATAGATCTATCTCATTTCTTATACATTACTTTTATTTTAATAGATGGCACTTCTGCTGTGTCGAATTACTTAGTTATTCAGATTTAATAATAGAGATTCGACTTTTGAGATCGCAGTTGACCTTTTATCTGCTAAGTTATGTTCAAATGGAAAATCGTGATACAATTCTGGTAATCAAACGTAACTTAACTAACACGTAAAGTGTGTCCTCGTTATCATCACCATGTTAGAAGTAAACAAGAAAAAGAAGGGAAAAAAAACTGATTTTGTAAGAGAGACTATCAAAGGACTAAAGTTGTGATGGGCTTCAAGTAAGAGCTTCAAGGGCATGTGGTGTGTTACAATCGTATTTTTTCAGGACGTCGGCAAGTGATTGTGCGGCACTCACTCTTACTAGTGAGTGAGTTAACCAACTTGATTTCGTACGGCCAACGTGTTGCCTTTGGCCGTACGAAGTATATCCAAGCTTCTAATCTTGCTTCGAGAAGAAAGATTTAGAAGAAGGGGGCATAGTGATTTTAGAAAGAGAGTTTGGAAGTAAGGCTGAAAGCAATGATGAAACCAATGTTATAAGCTAGCCAGTAAGAAAGACAATACGACTCAAATAGCATATAACTCCGTGCAAGAAGAATTGACGACTCATCACATCTCTCTCTAGTACATTTTAAGGCATTTCAAGAAAATATAATAAGAGACTATACATATATAATAAGAGACTATACATCATGAAAATGGTAAAGTAGCACGACACGAGGGATTTGGCATGTAATAGACATGCAGCTATGGACAACATGTATTAGACAAGTATGTCAAAAAAAAAAAAAAAAGTGAAGTATAAAGAACAACTTGAGGGGATAGTTTTGGTTGTACTAAGAACCTTAGACACTTGCACTTTTTAACTTTTTTGTAGCGGTGAATAGAGCATACCTCTGATGAGTATCTCTAAGGGAGAAAGAACCACAAATTTCCTTAACTTTCTTAATAAGTTAAAAACAACTAAAAATTCTCATAAATAAATCACTAGCTATGTTCTTAAACTTGCACCACAATTTGGTAACTACTAATAATTTGACTCACATTCTCCTTTATAAATTTGACGTTGTCGAGATTCTTTACTCCAAGCATAGCTCGAACCATAGCTCGAATCATAGCTCGAACCATCTCCATGCCTCCAAGTTCGGAAGCAAAGGATGAGGAATGTTCGTTAAAAGACATCAACCTCAATGACAAGTTTAGGGTTGTGATAACGAAGCAGTCGAGTGAATTCAAGGTAGCTATGTTAAATTGACTCGTGTAATAATGGACTACCTTTAAAAGTATAAAGACTAAAATTAATTGATACTCGTGGAATTAGAATGTTAAAAAAGTCAAAAGGCCAAGAGAAATTGACAGGGAATTTCTACGAGCTCACACTAGACATTAAAAATTGAAATCATTGGTACACATACAAAGCTATATGTAGTTCAGTGCCTATCTTAGGACACTGGAAAATGCAGTTGCCATAAATGCACCAAGTTGTTGTCCAAAGCGAGGCATTTGCAATAATTGCTCCCTTTCATCTCATTTGAGTGGTTTAGAGAGTACATTTTCTGACAGCTTTAGGTTGGCTTCTCGGTTGAAATAACATGAGTTTGATACTCTCGGACTCTTTCTTACTAGTTTCAACTCTTTAGATGGATTAAATGTTAGTATGACTACTTTTTAGCTAACTTAAATAAATTGGAGTAAGCTTAAATTATTTTATGCATAATTAGGTAAGACACTTTCCAAAGTAGAATTCTAAATTATGGTTGGGAGACTCTCGAGGTAAAATTAAATTTCAAAGTGCAGTGTTAAGCTAGCATCAAGGGAACGTAGTGACTTTGACCTAGGTCAACCAAGTAAATAAGTTTACTATTGATATGGTTGGATGAACTGAACGTTGTATGAACAACACGTGTGTTATGCCCCCTCCATGTGCCGTATTTTATAACTCTTGTGATGTTAATTATGTTATGCAATGTTATGACTTATTATATTATGACTACGTGATGATGTATTATGACTTATGTTATGCTATGATATGTCATGCACACCATGTTAGCATTATTATTTTCGAGATTGTAAGGTATTGTTATGCTAAGAATGTATCCATGAAAATGTTTATGAAAGACAAATGTGCGATCTGCATATTATATGATTTGAAGTTAAGGGGACTTCATGTATTTTTAGGTGTCGTACACATTGAGATACTTCTCCGTTATGATTAATACAAATGCATACTATATGACATTTATATTTGTCATGATGTTATGATACATCTCCTTTCCCTTTGTGTGTTTCGATTGTGTGAGTGTGCAGAAGTTGAAGGGCAAGTCCAGGAGTACGTATACATTTGCTTGGTGGATTCATGTACACGTACTTGAGTCATGTGTAGAGAAGAACTATACATCCAATTTTACTGAAAACAGAGTTCAAAGTCATTTATGTATTTCCTGACCCAATAGTGGGGTCACTTAGTATTCCTTAAAATACAAAAGCCAAGTACTACTCATGTTTTTACCGGTAAAGGTAAGGTGCCCTTATATGGTTGACTACTTCACGGTGACCGTCATGGAGTCGAAGATAAGGTAGTTACATGCATGAACAAGTCTATAATAATAAAAAATAAGATCCCTCCTTTCAGTTTTAACCGCCAAATTCTATCTTTTCTATTTTTGCTTCTCTTCAATAAATTTCTGACGCCTCCCCTTTTCATGTTCTATTTTTCTATTTTACTTTTTTTAATGCATTTACTACAAATCTATATTCCATCAATATATTTTTATGAATTATAAATTTAGTTTTTAGCTTCTAAATTTCTAAAATTTTCCTTTTATCCTCTAATCTTCATGTTTAACTTTTTAAATTTTAACTAAATAATTACATAGTCATGTGGATAAGGAGATAAGATACCAAATAGTAAGTTAAACTGTTTTTTACTTCAACTTGAAGCTAGAAAAAAACTTTACCCCATATTTAATTAATATAACCGAGCTAGAACAACCATTAGTTAAGAGCTTCCCGACATTTTTAAGGTCAATTTTCATTTTGTCCTTTGTTTTGTAGGGAGGTGTTTTGATTATACTTAGGCTACAAATATAGGATATGGTTTGGAATGTAGGAAGGATAAGATAGTATAGAGAATATATATTTGAGGAATTTGAAGGAGGCATGTGAAACAAGGCAATGTATTTATAGTACTTGATCAAGCATTACTTTGTAAACAACCTGAACTAGCAACTTTTAGGTTCTTTCCCTATGGACTACCTCTTACCTTCTCAAACATACATATCAAACCAAAATAATTGCATTTTTTTTTCAATTATTACTTACCTACACATATACTATGATGTACCTACGTATCCTACACTCCCCAGCTTAACGAAACTAGATTGCTCGATAATTCCGATAGACCCAACAATGACGACGACGAGGAGCACGACGGGATCTGCAAGATCGATGACATTATCTTGTCAATTTGCTCCATTGCCATTTGATTGGCTGCCAAGCATTGATCTTGTGGGTAGTAACCATTTGGAAAGCTTGATAATTTGGTAAATGGGTCAAGATCTTGCAAAGGAGCTGAAATTTGTGGAATTGATGACCAAAGATTTTCCTCACCAACTTCGCATAATTTTGCGGGATGCAAAATCGAACCATCGACGTATTGAGGTAGTGTCGTTGTTGGAGTGACAAACTCTCCGCTTGCAACCATTAGTTGGTCGGAGTCGAGCGATTGGGGATGGTAGCCGCCCAATGACTGCCACAATGGAGGGCTGTGAGGTAAAAAGTTGGTTGAGGGGGACAAGGAAGGCAGCAAATGAACCAAATTGGCATTTGGATTGAGATTGGTGAATTGCTGAAGCTTATAATCAATGAGATCATAACCAGGTTGTATCGTTGTAGTTGGAAGACATGGCTGATCATGATGGGCTGAGGTGGTCAGAATCAAATTAGGGTTTGCATTGAGAATAAAGAAGCCCTCATTATTAATGGAAACATTAGGGTTTTGGAGATGGCCAGGAAAGGTGGCCAAAGCTGAAACCTCATGAGAGATCAGCTTCTTTTTTATGTTCGAATTCCAAAAATTCTTCACTTCATTGTCTGTTCTTCCCGGTAATTGCTTTGCTATCTGAGCCCATCTGAAAGAAACCCAAAAACAAAAAGAGGTTTAGAATCAAAGTTGATATCTTTTTTTCTCTCTATATTATAGGTCGGTGCAACATTTTGGGTAATTTAGTATCACCAAGATAATCAATTTGATCGTTGAGAAATTAGAGAGTAAAAAAGAGAGAGACACCTGTTGCCAAGAATGCTATGAAGTTGAACAATGAGGGCAGCTTCTTGGGGGGAGAAGCTCCCACGTTTAAGGTCGGGTCTTAGATAATTTATCCATCGAAGCCTGCAACTTTTCCCGCATCGTTGTAGGCCTTCAAAACATACCGAAAAATTATTTGAAGGAGAAACAGTATGATTGACCGATTCGAATCTATATGATCAAATTTACCGAAACTCGAGCTTTCGAGTTTCGTAATAATTGTGAGGGGGAAAAGAGAAGGTAACTACCAGCAAGCTTAGGGACAGAGCTCCAACAGCCATGGCCATAAGTAGAAATGTAATTGACAAGCTTCTCATCTTCCTCCGGTGACCACAGCCCTCTCTTCACCTTCTGTTTGTTGCAGCAAGAATGGTGCCCCATATCCTCTCTCCCTTAGAGGGTTATGTTTTAGAGAGAGAAGAAGCAAAGAATGAAGTTAGAAGAAAGAGAGAGTGAATGACATTATGGGAGTGTGAAGGGAAAGGGAAAGGGGTAATGAATTTAATGCAGGGGAAGCTGTACGGTTGTGGGCCGCTTAGGGCTCATGCCAAATGCCCTACATCCTCTCCTTTTCGTGTCTACCAAATTTTTTTAGTACTACCCAAGTATGAAAAAATATTCTATACCGTTTTACCTAAACTTTAAGGGTATTGGCTCGATAGGTGAATATCTAAACGAAAAAATGTAACAGCCCAAGTCTCATACTATCAAATATTGTCTTTTTTGGACTTTTCCTTTCAAGTTTTTAAAATGTATCAAAGCTAGACACCGGACGATGTGCTAGGAAGGAGGCTGAGCCTCAATATACAATAGACATGAGGTGGTGTGCCAGCAAGGACGCTGGGCCCCAAAGTGGGGTGGATTGTGAAATCTCACATCGGTTGGTGAGGAGAATGAAACATTCTTTATAAGGGTATGAAAATCTCTCCTTAGTATATGCTTTTTAAAAACCTTGAGGAGAAACTTGAAAGGGAAAACCCAAAAAAGACAATATCTGTTAGCGTTGGACTTGTGTTGTTACAAAAAAAGATAGTCAAATCGAGTATAATTGAGTGGGTATGACACATTATCATCTGAAGATCGATAACCTCAACCTTTTATTTCTACAATTGTCATACTAAAAAAACGTGAAAATAAAAGTATTGGTGCATCTAGGTATATAATTCAACCGATAATACACAAATTATCATATCAAAGATCCATGACTCGACCTCCAAATCTGAGTCTTATTAAACAAAGCTAGAAAAGAAGAATGCATTGTACGAGTATTAGAAAATTTCTAGAATTATCGTAGGACCTACTAGAGACGAATGAAATAGGTTGGCCACACGTGGTGACGTGGCACTCGGGCTTCCGAGGTGGTCCTTCCTGACTTCTTTCCCTTTCCCTAATAATATTTTTTTTATATTAATTATTTATTAATAACAAACTCTACCAAAATCAAATTTTTGCTCTTTATACTATGTTCTCTACCATTGGAAAGCGATATGTTGTCTGATCAAGATCAAGATCCAACGGCTTAGGACAACCAATATAAAAAGTAGTTTTAGAAACTTTTTAATTTTTTAAATTGTTATGAATTCAAATATTTATTCTTGAAGAAGGAATTATTGTAAAAAAAAAAAAACAATGAAAAAAAAAAAAATCAATATTTCAAAAATTTTAAAAATTAAGCTACCTCTAAATTGGTGGCCAACCAATATAATTATTGCCAAAGTTTCCAATTTTATAATTAATATTTAACTTTTCCTCCCAATAATTTGGCACAATTATTATTATTATTATTATTTTTATTAAAGAAAAGGGACAAATCCCTATAGAATTGCACACAAATGGGCCTAGTTAATTAATTAATAATTATGGGTTTTTTTTTTGGGTATAAAAATTAGATTTGCATCCCAAAATAAAAATTAAAAAAGGATGGTGAATTATGAAAATAAAGAAATTGAGAAAATGGGTAAAGTTAATTAGAAGAAAAGCAAGCAAAAAAGAGGGAGAGATAAGCAAGCAAAAATGTATCATAAAAATAATCCAACCTACAATTTTGGTTATTGCCATTAATTGACATCAACTAATATTAGTATCTCACTTTTTTTTCACTCAATTTTCATTTTTCTTAAAACACAACTTCGGATCCCTCTAATCAAACACAAAACGAGCACATGATTGTTGCTCTATAGTCTCGAAACTTCAATACGTCATTGTCAGCAACTATACAAAAGTAGGTATCACATGCAGAAAGAATAGCAAGAATGAGTATAAAAATACTATTAAGTAGCTTACTAGCTTAAGTTAAATATTTTATCTTTTTTATTAGGGTTCACGTCGTTAACTCCTCTAAGCTTAATCCTATAGTTGGGTTCATATTCGATAATTTCTCCGAATTTATCTCAATATTTAGGTTCACAATAGATAATTTTTCTGAGCTTTTATCTCAAATATTTGATTTCACATAAGCTAGCTCATTTAAGCTCATATATATATTTAGGGTTCATGTTGTTTGTTAGAGCAAAGATCCTATTTTATTCATCATATAAAAACAAGGAATGATCTCATTAGTTAGACATGATCCTACAATAATCACATCATATACATGCAAGGAATGATCTTGCAATTCTTAGGACACGACCCTAGCATAATCATTTCACATGCATGCAAGGAGAAGAATCTCATGAGCTCAGTGAGTTCTCGGAAATGTCTAGCGCAATCGAGGAGGTATTTTTTATTCCAACACAATTCTGAAGGTATCGGATGGGCAAGAATGCAAATTGGATTTGAAGTATAGTAGAGTTTTTCAAAAACGTCAAAATATCCCTATCGTGATGATCACGAACAAACTTTTAGCTAGTATGAAACAAGAGGGCCCCTTTTGGACAAGGTTTCTTAGGCTCCGTTTTTCCTCTAACATTAAGGGGTTGGAAGAATCTAACGTCATTGCAACTCTCTAGAGTTGTATCCATAGAAAAATGTCTCTACTCGAGAAAGATCTTACAAACTATTAAGAAACAACCTTGTAGAATCATTTATATAAATGCAAGAAGTGACTTTACAAATCTTCCGAACTTTAACTCTAATAAAATCATCTCATATATATATATATAAAGAAGGATCTTACAACTTTTATAAAAGCATGAGCTAGTAGAATCATTACAAACACAAAGAATGACCTTTCATGCAATGGTTGAAGCACAAACAAAACTTACCACATTTTACTCTTTAAGCTTTAATATGTAATCTCCTCACATGTGATTTAGGCTTTAAAACAATATTATAGCTTTACTTATTCCATTTATAGCCCAAACCCTACAAGTAGATCCTAAACTCTACATGATAATGTTTTATACCTATGCATATTCTAATTTCATGATACCATAACATAAATTAAATCATTTTTCGAATCAAACTATAATATAAAATACTCTTTCAGACGCAATATTAGAACTTTTTTTCTTCAAATTCTTCGAAATCTACAAATTAACCCATAAAATTAGTATAATAAGTATAATATTCATTAGCTAAAATCAAATTTTACCCATGTTAACTTTTTACATATGAGACCCATTTTTTACTTTTTCCAAAATTTTCCCATAGGAATTCAAAACCAGAGAGTTACAGTAAAAAGGGTGTTTCAAAAAAGGTTAATTGGAGCATAGTGGAGTTATGAATTATTGTACTCTTATTTTTTCTATAAAGATGATAAAGTTTGCATGGTTTTCTTCCACAAAAGTCAATATCATGTCCTACGCTTTGCTTATATGATCACATATATCAAATTCTCAACATCTCTTTACACAAAATTAAAACCATTTCCTTTCTAAATCCTCTCACTTCCTAATACAATTTTGTTTTATTCTCTCTTTTATTTTTCAAATATAATCTCTCCTTTACACGGAACCATACTTACTTTTACCACGTTCTATTTATATTCATTTCGATAGTCAATTCGAACATAACTTAACTAGTTAAAACTACATATACTTTTGACTAAGGGGTCAGAATCAAAGCTTGAATCTCTATTCTACACGAAGAGAGAAGAGAGAAGAGAGAAGACAGAGATCGGACGTATACAAGACGAAAAGCTACCAGACTTTTTTGTGAAGCTATGCCCAACGTCATCTCACTATCATATCATCAAATAAGGAATAGCATTTCACCATCTTCACCAAGTGCTTGCTTCAATATTTGGTGAACATTTGAAAGATACATTTATGCCATATGCTCTTTCAATAATTTTAATTTGTATTGCGTTCATTAATACAATTTGTCTTATTTGTTGAGATTAACATTCTATCATAAAATATTGATTTGATAGGATTCGTATCACGATTCGAAATTCAAATTTGGCACCTAATGACTCTGACATTCCTTGAATCTCCCTAGACATGGTATTGTTACTTACTCCTCACTTATAAGAATAAAGACTATCCCGAGCATATTTTATCCTCATTCGTATACATCTTAAGAAAATTTCTAAGAGGTCACCCGAGATAATACTTCTCCAACCTAAGCACACTTAACTATAAAATTCATGACTGAACCATAAAAAAAAGAAGGTAATAACTTTCAATTCTTTTATGTCTTTTTGAGTCTTTTTACTTTTAGGACTATTCTCATTCATATGTGACATTGGTTCATTCATGTACCTTTGAATTTTGAATTTGAGTATAAATTTTGGTATGAGTTATTGCATGAATTTATAATCGTAACGGATTCAAACTTCAAATCTTTTAGTCTCATATTCATACTTTATATCGAATTATGTTAAAAATATATCAAAACTATGGTGACAAAAGAATGAAGATGACTGAGGAATAATATTTAATACTAGGGTACTATATTAAACTTGATTATGTTCACATTTAATGATCTGAGTAAAGACAACAAAATTTAATTTTATACTTCGACCGTTCATTCAAATAATTAATGCAAATAATATTCTCTTTATGTTCCTTGTTTGTTCATACTCAATAATTCCTCAAAATACAAATCACTTTCAAATTGTACGAGGCAGTGTTAATTTCGAAAAATTAGGTGCAGCAGAGACAGGGATTTGGTCCCCATCTAATTATTCAAAAAAATTAGAAATTATTTATTATTTTCCTTTGACTTATTTTTCTTTTTAAATATAGATAATGTTCACTTTAACCGAGTGTCACCTTCCCCCTTACGCTTTCACATATTTATTGAGTGATCTCATATCGGTTCAAATAGTGAACAAAACATTCTTTATTAGGGTGTGAAAACCTCCCTTAACAGACGCATTTTAAAAAATTGTGAAACTGATAGCGATATGTAATGGGCTAAAACATACAATATATGCTATTGGTGGGTTTGGATGGTTATAAGTGGTATAAGAGCCAAAATATCGAGCAGTGTGCTAACGAGAACGCTGATCGACCTCGAAGGAGGTAGATTGAGAGATCTTACATCGATTAGGGAGAGAAACAAATCATTAG